ACCTACAGAACTGTACTCAGGGCTAGCCAGTTTTAAGTGTATGCGATATGTTGTTTGATTAATGCCGCAGACTTGTTTGAAGTTTGTGCATGGCGTGCAGGATATCCAGGATTTCATGGTACAGTGACTCCTCGCTAAGTCGCAGGTGTCGAGATCCAAGCAAAAAATGCATTGAAAATGGATAAATAGTATATACATACATGGGTTTATTTATAGTAAGTTTTCTTCATTCAACAACATCACTGTGTCCATGTACGCATGGAATGAACTCATTGCAGCAAGTTTTATAGAGCTTTATCAAAGGGTACCGGCCAAGAAGTACATAAAGTCATGACTTCATACCCCTGACGACACCTCAAGTCAGGCCGCCATCACCTTTTGTATCTCAGTTGATGGCCAGTAGATGTTTAGTTGTCTCCTCCAGCGTTTTAACGGCCAATTAAATACACAATGCAACAAAACACTTAGCCAAAACTGTGACTTACTGAGGCCGACTTAGCGTGGGGTCATTGTACTATGAATTAAATGTTTTTCTGCTAACAATTGGTGTTGATGGGGAAAATTTTTCAAATTTGCCTGTCCTGTCTAGGAACACTGCTCAGTGCACTTGCACACACACATATATATAAACAAACAGATATCAATGTATTGTAACAAACTTCTCTTCTTCACATCAACAACAATTTCATATTTAGTTTTTATGACAATAAGCTTAATCAAAACTGATTAATATTTATTTTGTAGTTTTACTCTGGATTCAAATTGACTTTTGTTATATATTTTTTTCAGTGGTTTTGATTGTGATATTAATATTAATAATGCTACGGTGAGTAACTATATATAATTATATTTCTATAAAATTAAAAATTTGTGAAGGCCCATCCCACGTGTGAAGTCTAATGTGGTACCATATAAAGAACCATTTGCTGTATTAAATTTAATTTTCCTTTTTCTCTGATTCACAGGGTATAAGAAATACACATCTCCTTCAAGCCTACTCTAAGTGTAAGTACATGTAGACTAAATTCAATTGTCATGCATCTATAGGCCTACATGTCTACCCGTATATATACATTGTATATATAAAATGGTTGATGTGTCCTGGCAGCTGTTGATGTGTCACCCTTCTAAATCATTTCATTTGTTGATCCCTCTTTTGTCCTATATTACATACTATTAAAAGGTTATTGTGAGAAAACTGCAACATTCACAAAAGGGCAGTATCATAACCCTGTGCCTTGAATGCATACTATTCAGTAATCCTGTGAAAACTTTATTATTAAATATCTTATACTACTAGTAATAATTTGGGAATGAATGGTTGACATTTTGTGCATGTGACCAGTCGTTCACACTCGGAGATAAAATAGCCACATTGTTCGCTGATGTACATGTAGTTATTAAATATACATGCTTGTGTCCCAGTTAATAAAACAACCATCGTAATGGGCAATGTCTTCACAGCAGATCACAAGCCAGTGCCGATCAGTAAGCGGCATTTGTTATCAGACATTCGCACACCGGTTGGCAATTTGATAGATATAATATTTTCTTCCTGATTGCAAATTTTGAGGTTTGAATATACTGATATGGCACATATTTACTGACATTTATTATTTATTTATTCAGGTGACTGGAGAGTTGCACCATTAATGTTAACGATAAAACAATGGGCTAGCGCAAACAATATAAATGATGCAAGTCAGTCCACTCTGTCTAGTTATACTCTAGCTCTCATGGTTTTACATTATTTACAAGGTTAGTGAGACATAGTAGCAACTGTCACTGTTTTTGTTTTTATAACTAGCTGTGAATGAGGATGAGCACAATGGCAGTGTTGATGACTTATCCAGACGAAGTATCATGTGACACTGAAAGCTACAAATTGTTTTTATTATGATTCAAGATACTTGTACTTACAACAAGCAAAACAAGCATCTTGAAGTGTCTTTGAAATGGAAAAGATTTTTATTTTTAGCCCTAATATAAAATAATAACCATATTTTATTGTTTCTTCTAGTTGGATGTAATCCTGCAGTTCTGCCTGCTTTGCAACAGTTGCATCCAGTAAGTAAACATTTTATACCCAGAGCGTCTTTTGAAAATATTTTTTGACGATTTTGAGGGGAAAAAAACATGGTGGAAAAAGTCACGTTTCTCAGGTATCGAGTGGTCATTGACATACGTATTTTTAGGGGTTTCATCAAATATGGCTGACTGGGGGCCATATTGGTCATACAATTAATCCTAAAATGTGTATGCAACCAGTTCCTAGATATTCCAGAAAAACTGGTTCTCATTATACATGTTGTGCGTTAGTGTTTTTGTGATTAAAAGTGGCATGGTAACAGTAACAATATTTTAACAATGCAATGTTTTCTCTTATTCTCCCTCAGTATTATTTCAGAAGTGATTCAGATGTCAAAAATTTATTTCCTCAAAATTCTCTGGAAACAGATTTACCTGATCATTTGAGGTATCGATCTCAGAACACACAGAGCCTGGCAGGACTTCTAAGAGGATTTTTCTATTACTATGTGAATGTTTATAAGTAAGTCTTTGTATTTTAAACACCATCATTTCTCTCACCAAAATGTTAGTCAAACATTTTGTGAGTGTATTTTTCTATGATTTATTTGTAAATTTTTGGACCAACAAGCCTTGAAATTATTTTTTTTTAAATATAGAATTCATTCAGGAAACAGTGACAAATTTTAAAGAGTTAATTACAGTGAATTTGTTTTGATGTCTGATTTTGATAAATTCAGTCAGCTAAAG